TCATTTAAATGGCATCATATGGATGTGCTCCTTCAGGTCTAGCTTCTTCATAGCATAATGTCCAAAACATCATCTCCAAAAGATTCATGTATCTCATTTTAGCAGTAGTTTGTGCCCATTTTATTCCTGATTAGTATTCCCTTGTATGGATATACCATAGTCTGTTTGCCCATTCACATACTGATGGATATTTGTGGTTTCCATTTCTTGGCAATTGTGAATAATGCTGTTGGAAACACTCATGTATAACTCTTTGTGTGGATATCTATTTTCATTTCTCTTAGGTAGATACCCAGAAGTGGGATTGCTGGACTATATAAGTATATTTAACTTTATAAGAAAATGCCAGACTCTTTTCCAGAGTGATTGTGTCATTTTATATTTCCACCAACAATATGAAGACTATTAGCTGTTTCCCATCCTCACATTAGGTGGTATCAGCAGTCTCTCAAAGTTTAGCTACTTGCCAATCATTTTATTCTGAATACTTCTCTGTGCCTTGCAGAATAGAATATTCATTTTATGCTCATCACTTGGAGTATTCTCCCAACTCCTCAGTTTTTCAGCTTACTTATGTTTTATGTTTTAGGTCAGTATTTCCCAACACAGGATATATGTGAGAATCACCTGGGAGTCTTTCCAAATAGCCCAGGTCTCATTGCAGACACATTGTACCAGCTGCATTCTCAGGGATTGTTCATGGGCTCAATATGTATGTTGGAAAAGTTCCCTAGGTAATTCCAATTTATATTCCTAGCTAAAAATCACTGCTTTGAGGCTCAAGGCCTACTTGTGATAACAGAGCTTCTTCATCCTGCTTATACATGAACAGGATCTAGGGAGCTTTCAACACTCACCAGAGCCAGGGTTCCAGCCCAAACCAATAAAGTTCTCTAGGGGTGGGGCCCAAGTGTCAATTTTTAAAAAATTTCCCCATCATTCTAATGTGCAGCCACATTTCCCATTGGATTTCTTAGTCTTTTCTTGTGGCATTTATTCCTTTCTATCTTTATATTATGATAGTTCTTCATGTCTTATCTCTTATCTTAGGCATTATGTTCCTAGCCTTTCTCATTTCTGTGTCTTTCATGGAGTCTGACATTCACCCTTGTAGCACAGTAGGTGCTCAACAAGCATTTCACGAACATATGAATTGGTCATCAGAAAAAGATCGCAGTCACAGGTAGGTTGTATCCTGAGTCTCAGGGTCCCCGTCCTCCCTGGCGTTGGAGTTGTGATGTCCAGTGTGGGGTAACTCCTGTGAGATTACAGAGAGAACCTTGCCCTGTTTGGTATTTGTGTTCAGGCATATCACTGGGACTAAGGATTATATGTGTATATGGGGTAGAGGAGCAGGGTCGGGTAAGGAGACAGATTTAATTAGAATGGAGGAGTTATATTAGAGTTGTGATAAAGAAAGTAAGAAGTATTAGTAAAGAGGGGGAAATTTAAGCTTACCTAATGGCCAGAGTAGGCCAGTACAGATTCTTGAGCAGAGAGTGAACCAATTTTTTGGAGGGTAGTGAGGCAAGAGTAAGCAAGGAAGATTGCAGTAGAGAGACCAGAGACAAGGAGTCAGGTTGTACTTCCAAAATAGTTGAGGGCCTGGGTTATTTAGGGTCATGGGAATGAACAGAACAATGTATGAGAGGTATTAAAGAACCATCAGGTTTTGTGATGTGTCAAATCCCAGAAACCAAAGAGCAACATGGAGGAAACAGTGGTATTGTGGAAAGAGATGAATGAACTGCTGGGTGAGCCTGTGGGGTCAGGGTGGGAGGCAATATAAATGAGGAGGAATTTCAGAAGGTGTTTGGATGTGAGCTCAGGAGTTCTGGGAAGTAGTAAGGCTAGAGATACAGATGTAGGAGCCATCTGTAGAGAGGTCATTGAAGCTGTGGAAGACAGTGGTGCAGGAAGTATTCAGTCCAGGTGTCACTACTAAATCTGATGTGGGGTGCAATGCATAGGTCAATGGGTGGAAGGAAGAGAACGTCCAAGAAGGAAAAGTTGTCCATGGTTTTAGATGTTGTAAAAGTGAACAACGTGAGGATGGTGAAAATATCTTTGAATTGGGCCGAGGATGGATACTGACTTCATGCTGCATCTGGGAGTCTCAAGCACAGAGGCAGCACTGCAGAGATGCCAGGAGAAACCAGGTGATGAGGATGGGGGCACTCAGCACACATGTTTCTATGGCTTGGAAATGAAGGAAATGAGAGAATAGGCTAATACTTAGTAGGATTAATAAATGAAGGTATTCAACTTAGAAGAGATCTAACCCCCCACGAGGGCAGGAAAAAAAAAAACTGGGGACAAGGAAGAGATAGAAGGTGCTAGAGAGGGGAGGGGTCTGTGTTACTGGACCTGTGGAGGCTCTGTGAGCCAGAGCTGTGCTGCTGCGTCTGATTCACGGGAGCCACCTGTGCAGGAAGTGTCCTTTGTCTATAATAAAGAGGCCCAGAGATCTTTTACTCATGAAATCCTCTTCTGTCCCAGAAGAAAATAGTCATTTTCTTCCAAGTAGGTTGAAACTACGGCCTGTTGTTTCTAGATAGACTCACTTTGTTAACAGGCATGCAAATGACTTTTACTTTCTTTCTTTTTCTTTCTTTCTTTCTTTTCTTCTTTCTTTCTTTCTTTCTTTCTTTCTTTCTTTCTTTCTCTTTCTTTCTTTCTCTTTCTTTCTTTCTTTCTTTCTTTCTTTCTTTCTTTCTTTCTTTCTTTCTTTTTTAAAGATTTCATTTATTTATTCATGAGAAATGCACAGAGAGAGGCAGAGACACAGGCAGAGGGAGAAGCCGGCTCCATGTAGGAAGCCTGATGTAGGACCTTATCCTGGGTCTCCAGGATCATGCCTTGGGCTGAAGGCGGCGCTAAACTGCTGAGCCATCTGGGCTGCCCTTCAACTAACTTTCTGATCACTGGGTTAAATATCTGTAGACTTAGGCTTACTGTGACTTCCAGTTCAGCCAGTTCTCTTTCTTCTGCCTGTAAAGAAGATATTGTCTAAAGTAGTACCAACCGGGGGCACCTGGGTGGCTCAGTGGTTGAGCATCTGTCTTTGGCTCATGTCATGATCCTAGGGTCCTGGAATGGAGTCCCACATCAGGCTCCCCATGGGGAGTCTGCTTCTCCCTCTGCCAATGTCTCTGCCTCTCTCTCTCTGTGTCTCTCATGAATAAATAAAATCTTTAAATAAAGTAAAATAAAATAAAGTAACACCAACCATGAGGCAGTATATTCATGTCCACTTTAGAATTTTTATTATAAATATGGAGCAAATTTTACAAATAATTCAGAAATGGCCCTAGCTAGGCAAAATTAAATAACACAGAATAGCATGGATGAGAGGAAGTATATATTACTGTGTCAGGGTTACAAAACCCTGGAAAGAGGTACCTGAGTACAGAAAATCCCCAACTCACCCTCTTTGAGGGGCTCTTAGACACAGCATGACATCAAATAATCAATATAGAATAAAACTCTTCTCAGCAGCCCCAAAGAATTTCTGTCTATGTAGAACGAGGCTAGGTGGGAAGTACATTGCCTCTCCTCCTCCTCTCCTACTCTTCCTTTCTATTCTGCACACTGGGGCTCATAGACCCCCATGGGAGAAAACATTTCAGAGTTGGTTCAAGAAGCCTCCAGCCCAGTTATTACCCTCCCCTGTTCCCTCACAGCTGTGGTTCCCTGAGAGCACCAGCACCAGGGTAGCTTTCTGGAGTGTAAGCAGTGTTAACAGGGGTGTGAGTGTGTTCCCCTCAGGGCACCCCCATTTCTCAAGGACGAATCGCACCTTAGCAGAGGCCAGGTCTCCTGAGAAAGTGAGTGGGGCAGACACCATACACAGTAGAGACATGGAAAGGGGTGGTGGTTGAAGACTGGCCTGAGATGCTGGGAAACTGATTTGGACCCATTTCTAGCTACAAAAGAGGACAACTGCTGTTGCTGCTTCTTCATTTGGAACTCCTGGCCTAGGGGGCTAGAGGGATTTCTGGGGCTTCTTTTACCTAAGGCAGTCAGACTGGCTTACATAGCTACATAAAAAGAGCCCCTTTCACATAAACAAGCAGCTGCAGAACTAAAATGGCAGACTATCTCAGGGGGAAAAAAAGCCAATACATCAAGTTGTGCATTCTTAAAAATTATTTAAATAATCTCTGAAGGGACTGACTCCTTTCCCAAATTCTCTGCTGATTGTCGCTACTAAGAGCTGACTGCTTCCTGAAGCAGTAAGCCATCCTTCTGTGGGCATTTTCTTGAATAAAATCCCATAACGTTATGAAACATACGGTCATTTTTTTGCACTTTATATTAGGAATCACCTGTGGGCCTCCATGAATAATTTTCTGAATTGCTTCTAGTGGGTTCTCTGAAAACAGGCTTGCCAAATGGCTTAGGTGGCTTTCTAGTTAAGCAGCAAGGTGTTTAGGTCCTGGTAGACAACTCTGACAGTGGACAAAGGTGTAGAATTTCCCAGTTCGGCATCCTCATTCAGCATATTTGTTTTCCTGTGCATGGTGGGATTCACACTGGACTTTGGAGAGATAGAAGCTTTTACTTTTACTTCTTCTCTCTCTTCTTTTCTGGCACATGCATTTCAGTGGATCAGGAACTGACTCTGAAGGTTATGGCAAATTCAAGTTAGACTCCAATAGGATAGGATGGGGGCAGGAAGGAATGACTGTGCTCTGAGTAGGTAAGGTTAAAACAAGAAAAGGAGGAGGGGTAGAGGTTGTGGCACATCTCAAGGTCTGCTTTGCCAAATTTCAATGACAAGGAAGGTTGGGTTCCCTAGGAATCCCAGATGTATCTTTCCATCTATTGACATTGAAGGGAAGGGCTGTGACTAGACATCCTGGAGGTGCCTCCTTAGGGAGGGAAGTGGGGAAATAGGCTTCTTCCCCTTTTCTCTGAGGGTAAAGGGATCTCCTAGTGATAGGAACGAGAAGCTTGGAAAGAGTAGCACAGCCAGCAGGATAGGTTACATTACTTCTTTTGTACTTCGGAATACACCGTTTCTGTGGCTGCTGGGGATGGGGAGGCTGAAGTTGATTTCTTTGGTTCCTGGACATTGAAGTTCAGGGAAGAATATGCAACTTCTTCAATCTGAAAGGTATGAGCCGTGTGGTTAGTTAAATCAGAGTCATAGGACAGACCCTAACCTGTGTGCTCTGATTCAGCACCATATCCTATCACCACTTGGAAACTTTTAGCTTTGGAGAAAGGCTTTTATTAGCCATGATTACTCTGTTTGCTAACATCCTGTTGAATGATCATTAGAAGAGATAGATTATAGTATTTATTCATACTGGAGTACAATGATACAGCAATGAGGATGGAGAATCTACAAATGCATAAAAGGACATGGATGAACCTCACAAAACAATTTTGAATGAAAGAAGCTAGATATACACAAGGATGTACTGTGTATTTCATTATGTAAGAACGTAAACAGACAAGTAACCTAGTGCAATGGAAGTCAGGATAGTGGTTACTCTTTGGAAGGAGGTAACTGGAGGGTTTTTTTGGGGGGTGGGGATGACATGTTTTCTTGACCTGGATGCCTTTTGTCTGTTCAACTCATGAAAATTTATACATTCTTAAAATATATTTATGTTTTAAGTACTTTTTGGTATATATGTATATTCTACTGAAAGACTGAGAAAAATTTGGTAAAATTATCATAAAGTAAAGGAATCAAGACCTCAGAACTATTAGAAGGACATCATCATTTGTTGGTAAGAGCAGGGTCAGTGAAGGTGGAGAAAGGAGAATGATCTGGTGCCTTATGCTGGGCATTGTGCTGGGTGCTTTCCATTTGTTGTCTCATTTAATTCCTTCAACTTCTCTTACTTGGCAGCATGTCCATTTCACAAAGATGACAAAGCCATGGCTCAAAGAGCTTAAATTACTTGTCGAACATCACAGAGCTATTGAGAGTCACAGCCAGGATTTAAACCCAGGATGGTGTTAATTCCAAAGTCCACATTCTTGCAATGAGGTAGACTGAGGCAGTCATTAACCAGTACTCCTTTGTTTGTTGCTGCACTGAGAAATTTTGACCCAAACTTGATCCCATGTTTGTATCTTCAAGAATAACCCATTCTACACAGAAATATTTCCATGAGAAAATGAGCCATTGAAACTGGCTATGCTTACCTTGTTAGACAAATTGTCAGACTGGTCCTGACCTGGTGAAACAAAAGAAGAGTTATACCAATCCATGAAAAGGCAAAGCTCATTTATGGCCTTAAAATAGGGACTAGGGGGTGAGAGTGGGGGTGGGGAGGTGGGTCCTAAGCTGTTGTGATTTCTAGCTGAAGGAGATGGCAGTTAGTGGGAGGATGGATAAAGAAGTGGCCTATGAATGCTTGAGGAATTCACTTTCCACAGAGTCTGTGGTCCAGACCCTGGGCATTGGTACCAGAGGAGGCCTCAGTCCACTTCTGACAATTTCTTCTAGTCCACAAGGCTTTGATTTTTGCCCAGATATATTTCTCAGCAACAGGCTTCAGTGGCAAGGATGGACATTTAGGCCCACAGTACCCAGAGCACCACAAGACAGGGAAAGTCTCACCAAAGGAGAATGCCCACATCCATCACAGAGGCAGGAGGGAGGAAGTATGGGTGAGGAAATGGCTCCTGGAAACAGGTCCATCTTGCTCAGGCCTGCCTGGCCCAGGTGGAATGAACGTCTCTCTGAGGGGCATCTTTTGTGGCTAGAAAGGCATGAGGACCCTATGGCAACCTAAGGTTGGAAAATGGAGATCCCCCTCCAAAAATTCAGAAGGTAGGAAGTAGCTTGGGAATCCAGGATTCCCTGCTAGGGCAGGACACATGGTGGAACACACCAAGTCTCACTGGGTGAGTGGCTTTACTTACTGTGATTGGAGGCTGAGGGTTTGTGCTCTGTGACATCACGCAGGTCACTTGCCCTAAATAAATATCAGACACTGTGACTGCTATTCCCAAGCACAGGATCTTTTGTTCCTTGAATTAGGAAGGACATTGTCAGCAGGCAATTCCTTGGGGCTCCTCAGTGTTCACTTATACGTTGTTGGTACTACCTTTCCTCTTAGGGCCTCCTTCTTCAGTCTACTCATGATCTCCTCTAGGCTTTACTCCTTTCCTGTTTGCTGGGTGTTCACATTTGGGTCCATTGTTTATCAGTTGCATCTGAGCCTACTTGTACCCTGACACCTTTCCCCTTTATAGGCAGATGCTGATTTTTGTCTCACTTTACTTATTTGCCCAAGAGGCTTTGGTTGTTTTTGCCTTTTCTTAGGTTCTCTTCCTGTCTTATCCCTCCCTCCTACTCCTGTCAAAAGAGCAAGCGACTCACTTTCTCCTGCTCTTCCTCTCATTTCCTCATTTGTTTCCTTCTGGGAACTTGGATTCACTGACTTGAGACAGAAACGTAATGAGATCTGCCCCTCTAAACCAGATGGAGACGGGAATAACCATGTCTGAGAGAGTGAGCTCCAGACAGCATGAAGAAGAGATCCACAGGAATTAGTGCTGAGAAGCAGGAGTTTAGAAAGAAAGAGGAGCAGATCCAGGTGCAGAGACAGGGCAAAGTCTCCTTCCCTCTCCCAAGCATGGCAGTTAGTCTTGGAGAAAGTGGAACAGGAGGAAAGGTGATCATACCCGCCAGTTTTTCTGAAATACAGTAAGTACACCAGGGCTGCTATCACAGCAACCCCAGCCACAACTCCAATCACGATGCCGGCAATAGCCCCAGGTGGAAGGCCAGAACTTTGTTCTGTGGAATCATCTGTCATGGAAAGCAGAGAGAAAAATGAATGAAGGTGACATTATTTTATGGTGGGAGTCTCCTGGAGGACATCTCTGAACATGTAATAGTCTCTACTTGTTCCTTCAAGGAATACATTTTCTATGGGAAATTTGCTGTGAAGTGATTAGTTGACTTCATCCTTCAGTTTTTCTCTCTCAGTTTTTAGGCTGTTGATCAGATTTGCCTCAATACCATGTTGGTCTTTCTGCACTCAGATATTTTTGAAGGCCTTGGATATGTGAGAAGGGCTGACTGCCATTTTTCTATAACTTCCCACCTTTTCATGGTTACATGTTTTTCTGTGTGCCAGGCACAGCAGCCATGAATATGTGCCTCTCGTCTTCTGTGGTGAGGATTTAAGTGATGGAAGGCCCCTGGATAGTGCATTCTGAATTCACCATCTCCTTTGTACAGAGACCACATGCCCACAGACTCCCAGCAAGGATATGAAATAACCCCAACTCTCTGAGAAACTGTTTCCTCTGATGGGTGACTTGAGCCCGAGGACCCCTTGCAAACACCCTCATAGAACTGCACTTCCATCTAAAACTTCTTTCTGTCACATCTATACCATGGTCTGAGGAACCGCCCAGGCTCCTCCCACTCCTGTCCTACTTTCCCTCACAGGCACTTTTCCCAATAAATAAATAAAGATTTTTCTCAATAAATATAAATAAATAAGTAATTCCACTTTGATTGCATCTCAGGGGATAAAAACTAACATACTAGGCTTGAAACTTTGCATTCTATTCCCTTCTTTCCTTTCTCATGTTCAGTCAATAACTATGTCCCAGTGGCTTTTTGTGTAATGCCTTCCACACCTGTATATAATACTGTTTCCATCTGTTTCTTTTTTATTTCTGTTGCTTTCACCAGCTAACTGAAGCCTGATGTATTAATATTAATGTTAGCTACTGTTATGGGGTATTTAATACGTACTAAGCTCTGGGGTAAATACTTCACATATATCTCATTCGATTCATATAATAACCCTTTCAGATAGACATTATTTCCATTTTACAGATGAAAACAATTAGAGTAGTGAACAATTTACCCCAAGTCATATGGCCAGTAAAAGGTGGATCTGAGATTTGACTCTAGTAATACCCAACTTCATAGAAGCTAATGATAATAATAGTAATAATAGCAGCTAACACTTATGGAACATTTCGTTTCCTCTGTGTGTAGCATTTTGCTAAGAGTTTTTAATTGATTATTACATTAAATCTTTAAAATGGTATCATGAAGCAGGTACTCTTATTACAGTTTTCAGTTGAGGAATTTGAGGCTCAGAGAAGTTAAGAATCTTGTGCAAGAAATCTGTAATTGTAGGGCGCTTGGGTGGCTCAGTTGGTTAAGTATCTACCTTCAGCTCAGGTCATGATCCCAGGGTGCTGGGATCGAGTCCCACATCTGGCTCCTTGCTCCTGAAGGAGTCTGTTTCCCTCTGCCTCTCCTCACACTGCTCATGCTCTCCCTCACTCATTCTCTCTCTCAAATAAATAAATAAATAAATCTTTAAAAAAAAATCTGTGATTGTAAACACCTTAAAAAAGATCTCAGATCAATAACCTAACTTTGTAATGAACTAGAAAAAGAAAAGCAAACTAAACCCAAACCTAACAGAAGGAAGAGAATAATACAGTGAGGATAAATAAAATAGTGAGTAGAAAAACAATAGAGAAAATCTTATGAAACCAAAAATTGACTCTTAAAAAAAGATGAATAAAATTGACAAACCTTTAACTTAAAAGATTAAAATTACTAAAATCAGAATTGAAAGTGGGAGAAATCACTATCAATTTTACAGAAATAATAAATATTAAAAATAATAAATACTATAAAAGTACTATGAATAATTGTAGGCCAACAAATTGGATAACTAGAATGAAATTGATAACAAATTCCTAGAAACATAAAACCAACCAAGATGGAACCATGAAGAAATAGAAAACATTAAGAAACCTGTAACTAGTAAGGAGATTGAATCAATAAAAACATTCAACAGAAGTCAACATCCTTTCATAATAAAACCCCTCAAAGTAAGAATAGAAGGAAACTGCCTCAATATAACGGCCATAGATGAAAAACCTACAGCCAACATCTTAATGTTAAAAGACCCAGTTTTTCCTCTAAGATCAGGAACAAGATAGAGATGTCTGTTTTTAACACTTTTATCCAGAATAGCATTGGAAGCCCTAGCCAGAGCAATAATTAGGCAAGAAAAAGAAATGAAAGGCATCCAAATTAGAAAGAAGGAAAATGATCTTTGTTCACAGATGACATAAACTTACACATAGAAAACACTAAAGATTCCACCCCCTCAAAAAATCCCTATAATAACTAATACATTCAGCAAAGTAGAAAAATACTAACTCGACATGCAAAATCAGTTGGAATTCTATACACTAACAATGAATAGTCCAAAAAGGAAATTAAGAAAATTCTATTTACCACAGCATTGAAAAGAATAATATACTTAGGAACTAATTTAACTGAGGAGGTAAAAGACTTAGATGCTGAAAACTACAAAGGAATTGCTGAAAAAAATTAAAGACCTAAATAAATGGAAAGACATTCCATGTTCATGGGCTGGAAGACTTAATATTGTTAAGATGATGGTATTACCCAAAGTGATCTGCAGATGCAGTGCAATCTTGGTCAAAATCCCAATGACATTTTTGGGGGCAGAAATAGAGTAATCTATCCTCAAATTCATATGGAATGTCAAGGGACCCCAAATATCCAAAGCAATCTTAAGAAACAACAAAGGTGGAGGACTCTTATTTCCTGATTTCAAAATTTACTACAAAGCTACTATAATCAAAACAGTGTGGTACTAGCATAAGACAAACAAATAGACCAATGAAATAGAATAGAGATCCCAGAAACAACCTTTACATTTACATACATGGTCATACCATTTTTGACAGGGGTGCCAAGACCATTCATAATGGAGAAAAGTCAGTCTTTTTAGCAAATGGATGTTGGGAAAACTGGATGTTTCTGAAAACTGAATCCTTATTTAACACCATAGATAAAAAATTAACTCAATGTGGATCAGAGACCTACATGTAAGAGTTAGAACTATAAGAACTCATAGAAGAAAACACAGGATGAAGCTTCATGACTTTGGGTTTCGCGACGACTTCTTGGCTATGAATCTAAAAGCAGAGGCAACAAAAGATAAATTGGGCTTCAGTTAAAATGAAAAGCTTTTGTATATCAAAGAGTACTATCAACGAAGTGAAAATACAACCCACAGAGAGGGGGAAATATTTACAAATCATATATCCCATAAGGGGTTAATATCCATAATAGAGAACTAAAACTCAACAACAAAAAACCTAATCAAAAATAGGCAGAGGACTTGAACAGACATTTTTCCAAAGAAGACATTCAGATGGCCAACAGGCACATGAAAAGATGCTCAACATCACTCACCATCAGGGAAATGCAAATAAAAACCCAATGAGATATCACCTCATGCCCATTAGGATGGCTCTTATTAAAACAAAACAAAACAAAACAGAAAACAAGTCTTAGTGAGGATGTGGAGAAGCTGGAAGTTCTTTGCATTTGCTGGTGGCAGTACAAAATGGTGCAATTGCTGTAGAAATGGTACAGCGGAACATCAAAAAATTGAACAAAGAATTACCATTTGATGCAACATCTCCACTTCTGGGTCTCTGCCACCAAAGGACTGAAAGTAGATGTTTCAATAGATATTTGTACACCCATGTTTCTAGCAGCATTATTTACAACAGCCAAAAGGTGGAAAAACCCAAAAGTTCATAGACAGATAAATGATAAACAAAATGTGATACATACACACAAGGGAATAATCAGCCTTAAAAGAAATGAGATTCTGATGCATACTACAACATGGATGAACCCTGAAGATCTTATGCTAAGTGAACAAATCCAGACACACACACAAAACAAATATTATTAGGATTCCACTTATACAAGAATAGAGAATAGTCACAGTCATATGAGACAGCAAATAGGTTGCTGGTTACTGGGCTTAGGGGCAGGAGTGTTTATGGATGGTGGTGATGGTTGCGCAAAAATACTAATATACTAATACCATTGAACTGTATACCTAAAGTGGTTAAAATGATAAAACTTATATATATTTTACCACACAAAAAAATGGTATCTGAGGAAAAAAGGAATCTTGTGGAAGGTCATACAGTAAATGCCAGACCTAATTAAGAAACTAAGTGTATTTGATTCAGAGACTTAGGTCTTCACCACACTCCCATTCTGTTTACTGAAATGGTCACTTGATTCTATTCTGCTCTTCTGCCCTCTGGGACTTCTATCCATTTTGCACACCACTGGTAATCTTCCCAGGAAGATGTAACATGGGGCAAGGTGTCATTTACCTTCCACATCCAGCCTGACAGGGTCACTTTTGCGGAAACTGACTGGGTTGGAGACCTCACACTCGTATTTCCCGGCATCCTCCTTCCTGACAGGGTCTATGGTGAGGGTGCTGTTGTCCTGGGACAGCTTCATCCTATCCGTGAGCGTTAGAATCTGGCCATTGAAGAACCACTGGATAGAGACCCCGGTGTTATTTGAGGAGCAGGTCAGGACAACAGAGTCATCTTTTGTGACTGTGGTGTTGCTGGCAGTGAGAAGGGGTTGGGACACTGGCTCTGTGGAGAAACAGAGGAGGTGACAGAATGAGAGTGGGGCCTGGGGCCACACTCCCTCTTTTGAGATCTGGGCCTCTCGGAGGGCCCCAGGGAGCTCTGTCAAGGTGCCCCTGAGGATGGCCCTGCTGTCTGCAGAAGGATGAGTGTCTTTGTTCAGGTGACAATCTAGAAGGGGAGGGCTGTCCCTCCCCCTTTGGCCCTCCCTCATGCATCTTCTCCACCTGGACATCTCTGTAGTATCAGCACCAGGAACCTCTTCTAAATCTATAGCATCCACATCATCAGAGGGAATTTTATACCCAGTGGTTTTTGTGGGACCCTTTCCTAGAGCTTTACATAGAAAGGGAAAGCATTTCTCTTTTCTTTTCTCTTTTGTGAAATAATTTATTAGAAAATGAGAATGGCCAAGCCAGTCTTTGTGGCTTTAGACTGGAGAAGTCCCAATCTAAAGGGTTTCTCAATCTGAGTAAGACTTTTACTTCCTGCCTGTGGATTGACTATTACAAGGAGGAAATCTTTAGAGTAGTGGTCACAGTTTTCACAGAAGGCTGGTACTCTTAGTTGTGGGTATAAATATGTACTTCTTTGCCATGAAGGGACGTCATGAGGGCATCTACCTATTTTGTAGTTGGGCACCATTATGCAGTGTTTTCCTCAGTGGTGGATCACATGTGCTGGGGTCACACAGTGTTAGAGAACTGGGAGACTGCAGAGCCAGGACACAATCAGGGGGTTTGAGTTAGGGCTCACTCTTTCCCATTTCCCAGTGGCTTCACCACAAGGAGGCTCTGGTACAACTGGTGGGATAGTTTGGCCAGATTGAAGACAGGCTTTTCCTGGACCTTCTCCGTATGTTTCTGTCCCACCACAGATGACAGCAGAACAGTCAGTCATAGGACGAGCCAGGAGCAAAAGGACCTTCTTTCTCCCTGAGTCCCTCCACCACATGGGGCTTCCTGGGGCTGACAGACCCTCTCCCCACATTCCAGGCTGGACCCACAGGGCCATGAATCAGAGAGCAAGGGGAGGAGGTGCAGACATGTAATGGAAGAGTTGAGGGACAGTTTTGGGATTTGCTTGTGGCATCAAAATGGGAAAGAACTTCTAGACTCTATTCTGAAAGGCAGACAGACCTTCACCACAGTGCTCAGTGCAGATGCTCCAGGGATGCACTTACCAGAGACTGTGATAGTCTTGACTGTGGTCTTATTGAGGCGGGTGGCATTGTTATAGACGACGCAGGTATAGGATCCACTATTATTCGCAGTGATGTTGGGGATAAAGAGCTCCTGTGTGGATGGCTGGGGCCTCCCATTGATAAGCCAAGAATACTGTGCAGGTGGGTTAGAGGCTGTGCGGCAGGAGAGACTGAGGTTTGCCCCTAGACGGTAATAGGAGTCTGGGGGGGAAATGGTGGGTGTGTCCGGGCCATCTGGAGCAAACAGAATAAAGCCACAGGTGATGTAATCCCAGGGAAGGGGAAGCTCCTGACTGTATAAGGGCCACAGTGTCCCTCTGGGTCCCAACCTTGTTTTAAAAAGTCCCAACCAGGGTGCCTGGGTGGCTCAGTCGGTTAAGCATCTGCCTTTGGCTCAGGTCATGATCCCAGGGTTTTGAGATCAAGCCCCGTGTGGTGCTCCCTGCTCAACAGGGAGTCTGCTTCTCCTTCTACCCTTCCCCACTGCTCAAGTAGTCTCTCTCTCTCAAATAAATAAAATTAAAAAAAAATAACAAAATGATAAAATGTCCCAACCAGAAGCCCCCTGTGTTCACTGAGCCTGGATCTGAGACATGAAGCTGTTTCCCCTCCCAGGCTGCTGACCCTCTCAGGAAGGAGCAGCTCATCCCCTCCTAGTCTTGTTTAGGCTGAGCCTGCCCAAGTTTGCAGGACAAGAAGCCATGGCCAGGCTGGGTGTCCAGCTGTGGGTCATGGACATGGACCCCAGAAGGAGGGATGTGGCTTGGCCTCTGGCTGTGTGGACTTGAGCTGGCAGCCTGGGCCAGGTAGGAACGGAAATTACTCACAGAGAACATTCAGGGTGAATGGGTCACTACGATCAGCACTCACTGGGTTCCGAGTTTCACACTCATAGGATCCTGTGTCATTCCTTGTGACACCATGTACAGTGAGAGTCCTGTTGTCCAGGGACAGCTCCAGCCTGGGACTGTCCGTGAGGCTCTTACTGTTTACTGACCACAGGCAGCTTGTGCTCTGAGTCTGAGATTCACACGTTAACACTACAGAATCCACATCCTCCACGGGGTTGGAGTTGTTGCTTGTGATGCTGGGTTTATGTAACTCCGCTGTGCAGACAACAGAGAGAACATTGCCCTGTGTGGTATCTGTGATTCCTTGGCAGACATCTTTAATCAGAGTTGGCATCTCTCACCTCTCAGCCAACCTGAATCCTTCAAAGAATAAGGCAGGTATGTATCTTAAGACAAATGTGAGAGGATCTGAGTGCTCAGAGAACACAGGCCCCTACTCTGTATCCGAGAGCAAGCATGGGCTTTCTAGGGTCAAATTGGCATCAGGGTTTGGTTGTAGAAGACACAGAACAGATCTCTCCTGGTTCTTCCCTGACCAACTGACCATCAGACCAACTTGAAAGTGCAGGTGCTGAGGCCTTTTTTCCGGTACGGACCTACACCAGTCTACCTACAGCACTCAGGCTTCAGGCCTCGAAGTAGGGCATCTGCCAGGTGTTCCATGGTGAGTGACATGAGACAATGACTCCGCACAGGGTGGAGCAGAGTCAAGGGTAGAAATGATCCAGAAATGAGTGAGGGGGACAGGCAGGGCAGGGCTGGCTTTGGCAGAGAACTATGTGCTCTGCCCTCAGTTTTTAAAGTTTCTTTTCCCACTGCAGAGGCCAGTGAGGACCATGCTGGTCTCTCCGGAAATACAAATGGATGTTTTCAAATGCAGAAGGGGTGACTGGTAGTGGGGTGTCTGGGTGGCTCATTAGGTTATGTGTTGGCCTTTGGCTCAGGTCATGATCCCAGGGTCCTGGGAAGGAGTCCTACATTAGGCTCCCTGCTCAGTGGGCAGTCTGCTTCTCCTACTACTCCTTCCCCTTGCTCCTGTTCTGTTTTTCTCCCACTCTCTCTCTAAATAAATAAATAAATATAATCTTTTTTTAAAAAGGAAGGGGTGACTTGTGGGAGGAGGCTGGGTCAGGTTGGGTGTATCTGGCCCTTGTGGGTCATTTGTAAATACAGTTGTAAGATAGAAATTTGAGAAATTAAATAGTGTACATATGTGAAAATCAGCATGAATACCCGAGAAGCCTAAGACCAGTTTCTGGAGGAGTATCTCTCTAGAGAGCACTATATGCTGTAGACCAAGTTCTGCAGTCCAACCAGGATCACATTATGATCGAAGGAAGGTGTTATAGTGGGTTTGAAATTAGTAGCTCCCTGGGTAGAGAAAAACACAGGAGTTCTGTTAAGAAAGAGATTTAATTGGGGGAAAGTCTGAGGTGCCTCAGTTATTATATAAAGGGAGGAATGATACCAAATTAGTAGAAATGCGTTATGTTAGCAAATTTAGGAAAGAAAGTCCCTGTCAACAATTTCTATAGACAGTCAGGACAACTGGGACATGCAACCGAGTGCTTGCATGTAGCTTTCTTTTGACCTCAGGAAACACAAGTTTGATCAAATGCATCCAAATTGGGCAGCATCTAGGTGAAAGGACAGTGACTGGTGGATCTCACCAAGTGAGAGGATCCACTCTATGGTAAAGGTGGCCTTAGGAGCACCTGTGTGTGTGTGTGTGTGTGTGTGTGTGTGTGTGTAATATAGGCAGTGAAGCAGCAAGAAGGTATAGGGTGTGGCCAGTCCCATGGTGGGAAGGCAGGGGAACTACTGGTAAGGAAGAATTTTACCTGGATAATGTTATGAGTCAGGAGTAAAAGGCAGGAAATGACCCATGAGCTTTTGGGGATTGAGGATCTGCAGAAGTCTGCGTTAGACTCCCTGGATGAGTCACATAGAGAGTAGATCGAGGGATCACATGTCCCTGTCAGGTGTGTTCCACTTGTTAGCGTCACGGAGGGAAAGAGCCCTGGATGAGGGCACAGTGAAAGCTCATTTCCTGGTGACCTGGGCAAGCTGGCTCCTCACAGAACCTGGCAGACGCTGCTGCTCTGATTTCTGTGTCCTCCAGGCAATAGCCTGGGAGGGTGGGCCTGGTCACAGAACTTAGCAGAAGAATCAGGGAAGGCTTAAGGGTAGAGGGAGCTGTGCAGAGCAGGACTAGTCCCAGCTGAAGATGGAGGAGGAGGAGAAGGAGGAAGATGAAGGTCATGGAAGGAACAGGGAGCCAGAAATGTCCCAGGCTGTGAGTGGGGGGGGGGGGTTACAAGTGACTTCAAAGACTCCAGGCATGAGAGCTAACAGCTGACCGAGGGGCAGGGCCAGGGCAGCCCTGCAAATCCTCCCATGGCCGAGCAACACCACAGGCATCAGGAGACTCTTCTCTGGGAGTGGCCTCAGGGGCTGGTGGTCAGAGGGACAGAACATGGCTCTCAGCCCTTGGATGGACAGGGAACAGGTGTGGCTAGGACCTCCTAGGACTCTGCATCCAGGGTTCAGACTCTGAAGAGATTGGGAATCATTCATTCATTCCTTTCCTCCTTCATGAAAGAGCAATTGAGATTTTGGGCCCTGTGCAGGTTCAGGGTTCATGGTCAGGAGGAGAGGGCGGAGTCCTTTCCCTTACACGCCATGGGGATCACACCAACACATCGGGAAACAGTGAGTCCAGGTCCAGTGCAGGAGCTGTGGATCGGCCACTGAGGGGAGGCCTGGGCATTCCCGCACTGACTCTGATCATTGTTGAAGGTAATTTAGTTCTTGAGTAAAACCATGAATTAACTCTCCATTTGCTCTCACTTCCCAGACCAGAAAACCTGACTTGAGCTGTGGATCCCTAAGAAGAAAGGTCTGATCCACCAGCTGGTCTCAGGGTCCAAAGATGCCTAATAAGGCCTCCTGAGTGGAGGAGGAGATGGGGCAGCGGCTGCAGACAGACCCTGTGGGATTGTGATCTGCCTGCTGCTCTGGTCTGTGTGACTCTGATTCAGTGTCTGCATCGCCCTCTGCCTCCATTTCCCCTCAATCAAAATCAAGTAATGGCTTTTGATTAGCTGTGTTCTCTGTCATTAACCTGAAATCTTTCACAATTACCTGACCTAAGGCTGGCTATAGAGGAGCTGCCCAAATAAACATCTGTTATTTGCCTCCATAAGACACGGCTCCCTGGGCTGGATCCTAAGTGCAGGAGTTACTACCAGGAGCATCTTCTTTCCTCTTCCTCTCTGGGGTGCTGACCTTCCTCTAGGGTCTCCTGTCCTCCAGGGCGCTCAGACAGTGTCTCAGGAGCCTTGCCTATCACTGCTTTCCGCCCCACTTCTCAGGTAAGGGACCAGGCTCTGCCCCTCCCCAGATGCTGAGCCCTGGCGGGTGACCCGCTCAGGAACCTCAGGACTCAGGCACCAGGAGATCATTGCTCCCAATCAGTCTTGCCAGGAAGCCAAAACCCAAGCCTAGCACAGACTCCCCTAGCTTGGTCACAGGAGTCAGAAGTCCTAAAACGGGTCTAGGCAGGAGTTTTCTGGCCTGAGCTTCTCTTGAGGATCCCAGGGGACCCCTCAGGCCTGGCGCTAACTGAGCCCCACTGAGTCTTTCTCAGAGTCATGATAACAGACAGGGAGGAGCTCCAGGGGCTGGACTGAATCTGTTTCCCTTTGCTGAGTTACACCTGTCAGGCTTGTTCTCTTTGCAGGGAATGTCTGCTGGGTTGGAATCCAGGAGTCAAATTCTGATCTTTGGAAATGTGTCTCCACTGTGTGTCCTGCACTAAATGCTTGAACCACTACAGGGACATAAAGCAGAGAGGCATGGAGGCCCAGTGCAGGCCTGTGAATCCTGTGTGTGTGAGGTAGAATCCCCCCACCCGACACCAGCGGTGAGAGGAATTACTCACGGAATACTCGGAGCTGTCCACGTGCTAGTGCAATTTCAAATTTTCTGTTTATGATTTGTAGGATGTAGGATCCAGTGTCGTTCAGGTTGATGTTCTGGAACAGCAGGGATCCATTGGGGTATATAGTCTCTCTGCCGCTGTATGCAGGCCCCGGGGTAGTGATGTTGGTTTCTATTACATATAATAGAATTTGATGGGCAGGCAATACAGTTTCCCCTTTGAACCAGGTAAGGCTTGCTGTATCCCCAGGCAGATTGAGGACCCGCAGAAGAGCGTCCTTCCCTTCAGCAGCATCGAGAGGCACGGACTCCACAGTGACTTGGGCAGTGGTGAGCGGGTTCCAGAAGGCTAAAAGTGAGACTAGGAGGGAAGAGAGGGGACGGATCAGTGTTTTGACCTGTGTGTTGGGATGGAGAGCTGTGGCCCTGGACATGGAGCAGGTTCTAATCCCCCAGCTTCTTGGTGTGGGTGTGTGAACATGCACACATACCTGGGTGTCTGTGTAGGTCTTCTCCTGGTCAAAGTCAGTGGAATGATTATGCTAATTTCGGGCCTCTGAAGGTAATTTCCTCTGTTTTGAACGCTCTCCCTCAGATGTCTGTGGCTCTCTCTCTGACTGCCCTCAGATACCTGCTCACACTCAGGGGTCCTTGGGAGAAGCCTGTCCTGACCACCTCCTATGACCACCCTCTGTCTTCTCGTCCTGACCTTTCCCTGCTCTGTTCCCTTCAGGGGGCTTGTCCTTACCTGACATGACATTCTAGATGTCTCTGCGGGTCTGTCTTCCTCCCAGAGAAGTGAGCTCAGGGAGCAGGGACTGGTCTGCTCTGTGCTGTACCCCGGGGTGGCCCGGCTGCAAATACCCAGGGCTGAGCGTCCCCAGGGCCCTCCGAGTCTGGCGCTTATCGGTCAGGACCCCAGGGTTGTGGCACGGGCAGGGTTTGGGGTCCCTGGTGTGGTTGCCGTCAGGTTGCAAAACTGAGTCCCCGGCGAGGAGGCCCTTGGGACCCAGCCCCTCACTCCCCACTTGCAGATCCCGAGGCCGTCCCGCCGCTGAGCCGGCTCCCCCGCCCTGCCCGCCGCCCGGTCCCCTGCGGAGCCCCGTCCCATCCCCCCCCCCCCCCGAGGCCCCAGGCCGCCGCTCCCCCGTCCTCCCGCCCCTCCCAGGGGATCGGCCCCCTCACCTGCCAGCAGGAGCTCCTGCCAGGGGCCGCGCCCTGCTCGGGGAGAGGCCGAGGGGGGCTCCATGGTGCCCGCTGCCCGCTCCGTCCGGCCCGGGTGAGAGCAGCTGCCGCCGCGCAGACGCTCGGGCCCCGCGGTCCCGCCCGACAGCTCCGCGTCCTTCCCCCTCCGCGCGGGGCCGCCTCTGGGGGCGGGGCCGGGTCACGTGGGCCGGGCGGGGGCTCGCCGGCCCCCCCCTCCCGACGGAGGTCCCGGGTTCCCTTCCTCTGTCCCCGTGGGGGTCCCCGCAGCTGCTGAGGCCTCCCCGTCTCCAGCTGGGATGTCCCGGCAGACGCGAGCGCGCGCACGGGGCCTGCTTGGCACGAGCACGAGCCCGGGGCGTCGGGTCCGGGGCGCGCCCCGCAGCTCGGGGGCGAGGTGCAGGGTCCGCGCCCCCACAGCCCTCCCTCCTCGCCCTGGGGCTTCCCCCTGCAGAGCGGGAGCCCGGGGCCGCCTCCAGAGCGCCTGTCCCGGGACGTCACCCCCACCGGGCCTGGGGATCACCTGGGGAACGTCATCAAGAGTGCGGAGGCCCAGGTGACCCCTGGACAGGCTGCTTTAGCAGATGCGCAGCCAGGCTGAGACCCCGGGACGTGGCGCCGGGGCCGCCTCTGCTCTGCGCCCACTCAGGGAGGGTCCGCAGATCCTGTGGAAAAGCAGATCTGACTCCGCAGGTGTGATGTGGACCCCGGAGCCTGCATCTAACCAGCTCCCAGGGGACGCGGATCCTCCTGGCCCCGGGGAGCAGGCTTTGAAGAGCCGGGCTGAGGGGGACCCGGTCCCCTGAGAGGGTGACCCTTGTCCTGGCCTTGAGTCTGTGGGCACCACAACACAGCCCAGGGTCCCCAGATCCAGGGGATCGGTTCCCTTTGTAACAGAGAAGCCCAGCCGGGCACGGGTCTCCCCAGTGATCTCACCTGCTCTGGGGAGGATGGACTTCCTCCTGGCAGCAAGGTCAGAGAGAGGACTCGGGGTGAGAAAGTGGCAGACTGGGTGATGACTCGTGAGGGATAGTGCCCATCCCTGGGTGTCAGCAGCCTGGCTCCTGGTTCCAGGGACAGAGACCCTGGACCAGGTGTCTGAGTAGCTCAGTTCCCAGGTGTGAAGAAGACTTCCTGCATGTCCTGGGAAGAGATAATGATGGGGTAGATTGGGTCACTTGAGGGTCCCTGTAGGACGGTTTGGGAAGGTTTTGGGGAGACCCTCCCTCTCAGGAGGTGGCTGAACTGTGGCCCACAGACTGTCCACTTGCTCCTGGGTGTCCTGGGTCGCTCAGGAGCACATGTCATCTGCCTGGGGAACCCTCCTGTGTTCACCCTGGTTCTCTGGTGGGTGGAGCCAGGCAAGCAATAGGGAGGTACATAGGGACTGGTGACAAATTGGATGCTCTTAGGGCCCTAGACAGAGCAGGCACGCGAGAGGGACCTGAGGGTCTGTTGGAGAAAGGGATGGAAATCAGGCTCCTCTTACACCTCCTTAGCCAAGTCAGCTTTAGGGTTTGGTTTCCTGGACGTTGTCTGCATGTTCCTATGTCGTCCCCTGGAGGCACTGCCGGGGACTGCATCCGGGATGCTGACCAGGCTCCAAAGGATGTGAGTGGCCCTGAGCCCTGGGCAGAGGTGAGGACTGGTTAGCCTGGGTCCTGGTCCCTGTGGGTCCTAGACTGCCTGAGTCCATCTCAGGGCAAGGTGAGCCCCTGGAGAGGACGGCCATTCTCCAGAAGAGTCCTGATCATGTGTCAGGAGAATTATCCACTCAAGGATGTGCTTCACAGGAGGATCTATTAGTCCTGAAGATTTCAACGAAAGAGCTAGGAGGCGTCTCTTGAGACTTTGGAGAAACCACAGCTGCCTGGGAGGCTGGACACTACAATGCCCTGTCTCCCCATCACAGCTCAGGTGATGGAGGGACTGCCTCCAAGTTGTCTGTGTTCCTGTCTGTCCTCCTGTCTAGGCCTCCCCGCACAGGAATCAGGAACTGGAGCAGCTCCACCCAGAGACTCAGCTGACGGATCCCAGGGCTGCCTCTGGAGAGGGGAGGAGACCCTCAGCCCCTGAAAACAAAGGCAGAATCCGGATTCTCCTGTGTCACCTGCGTGGGAACATCCCCTGCTCCCCAGGACTCCTTGGCCTCTGAGAAATCTTTAGGGAGACATAGCAGGTGTCCCCACAGACCAGAGGCCCTCAGGATGAGGAGTTGCCCCTGACATCTTTTGAGGTCAGGGTAGGGCTCTGACCTCCCCTGGTGGTAAGCCCACCTGGGGTGTGATCTAGAATTTGTGCCAGGTCAGATCTCTGAGAGAAGAGAATAGAGACACAGGCTGCCCACCCAGGCCCTCCGGGGAGAGTAGTCATTCACAAGATGGAGATGGGAGGGAATGTCAATGTTCTGGAATGAATAGATGTCTGGCCTGTAACTACAGGAGGCCCCTGTCCTCCCTCCTGAATCTAGGAGTGGGTAGAAGCCCCACAGCCTCGAACAGACTATCTTGGGCACCTGCTCGCCTCCCCTCATCTTGATTCCAGTGCCCTGTGTCTATAGGGAACAGACTCTGAGCCCAGTTATTGCCTGGGGGGGGGCATGCTTCCATTGTGTGGTTTCCCTCTTGCATTTAAAGAGTATTTATGGGGTAACTGTGACGTGTCTGGCTGTGGGCTGAGTCCAGGGAACTGCACAGACAACAGGACAGAATTGGGCCCTGGACTCCTGGGGTTTATTCTGTAACAGGACCACAGGCACTTAGGAGTCAATTATAGTTGAGAGAAGGGCCAGGAAGAGAAAGAGTCTGGTGAGTCTGGAGCATGGAAGGGGTCTCAGCTGATGGAGGGTCAAATGGAGAATCCTGGGAAAGTGATCTTTTGGCCGAAGCAGGAAGCATGAGTGGACCTTCACCCCTGGAAGGACAGAGTTTGTGGAGGGATGAGCTGCCCACAGAGGAACCAGTCTCAGCGGCAGAGGCCTGGCTGGCCAGAGGGGCTGACTAGTGCCTTGGGGGGAGCCTGAGGGCCAGGAGGATGGTGACTGGGTTAGGCTGAGGAGAGTCAGCCTGCTGGGCTGTGGGCACCATGAAGAAGTCTCCCGCCTGCGGGGGGAGCTCTTCCCCCATCTGGTGGACATGGAGGGAAGTGTGGAAGGCAGAGTCCTGTGCCAAGCCATTCTGAATGTTTATTCAACGTCCATCTGTAGACATTTCACATGCATCACATATCATGTTCATACTCCATCATATTCCAGCTCTGTGAGTCCCAGTGTCTGTTACATTGTCCCTGCCTCTTCCCTGAATAAAATGTCATGAAACTCAGATTTCTAGGAATGTGTATCAATGTGTGTTGTCTTTAGGAAGTTACACTGCATGTGCCCTTCGGCAGCAGTGGTGTGTGGCTGGAATGCTAGGTGGTGGGCCTGTGGGGAGAAGAAGGAGGAGCAGGCTGCTGAGTGTGTCAGGAGGAGAAGGTCTGTGTCAAGAGAGCAGAGGGAGAAGGATGGACAAGTCAACTTTCTTCTAACTCCCAGGACCTGGCATCAGCACAGAGTCCTTGACCCTGGGAGCACACAGCACCACACACCTCTCTGTTACCCTGGGTGAGATGGAAGCTGCTTCCCTCCTGTTCCTCAGGACCTGGGCCTCCTGGGCCTCACAATGCTGAGATGGCTTCACATTCACAGTCTCACCAGCACCTAGGAGGACCCCACATTGAGGCCCATGTTCCCCACCCCCCCATCCCTGGGGTTTCTGTCCTATGCTGCCTGAGCCTCTGTGGCTAGCCTTGGCCAGGGGCCCCACCTGCTCTTGTTCCAGGCAGCTGCTCCTGTGGTGCTGGCCCCTCACGATCTCTGGGCCCACTAGCTGTCATTTGTGAGGGAAGAGGGGTGAAGCTGAGATCAGGTTCTCCCATGTGCTGGACACCCTGGGGAGATGTGTCAGTGGAACCATTATTGTAGCTCCCGGTAGAAGTATTGCTCCCCTTGGAACTAACACTTCTGGGTCAGCAGCACATAATGTCACAGGGACAGGAAACAGTTTGCTAGTGGACCCCGAGAGATATAGTGAGCGGTGTCACTCCCATTTCTTTCTTCTTTCTTTCTTTCTTTCTTTCTTTCTTTCTTTCTATTTATTTATTCATGATAGATGTAGACAGAGAGAGAGACAGAGACACAGGCAGAGGGAGAAGCAGGCTTCATTCTGGGAGCCCGACGTGGGACTCTATCCCGGGACTCCAGGATCGTGCCCTGGGCCAAAGGCAGGCGCTAAACCACTGAGCCACCCAGGGATTCCTCTCTCTCTCTTTTTTTTTTTAAGATTTTATTTATTTATTTATTTATTTATTTATTTATTTATTTATTTATCTATTTATTTATTTATTTATTCATTCATTCATTCATTCAAGACACACAGAGAGAGGCAGAGACACAGGCAGAGGGAGAAGCAGGCTCCATGCGGGGAGCCCGATATGGGACTTGATCCCGGGTCTCCAGGATCACGCCCTGGGCTGAAGGTGGGCGCTGAACCGCTGGGCCACCCGGGGACCCCCCCGTCACTCCCATTTCTACCCCTTAGTTTGTAGACACGAGAACCCTGGCTGGGGGAGAAACAGCACAGACTGCACACAGATTCAGAGCAGGTACAGCCTCCTGGAGTTCCTGTCCCCAGCCCTTGCTGGTGCTGAAACTGAGTCCCCAAAAGAGCAATTACACTTTTCTATCAGGACAGCTGCTTCAGAATTGTACGATGAGTGAGCATGCACATTGTTGCATTTTATTTGCTCTGAAGTGAGTCCCTTGATCAGAAGCAGTGCTGTGTGGAATATGTGACAGTCGATAAGGCATTCTGTGAATCCATGGATGGTAGTTTTGTCAAGAGCTTTGAGTGTAGGGAAGGCAAATCTGTATCCAGATTGAGTGGCTATCCAATAAGAACAAAACATTGCTCCCTCCCTGGTGGAAGTGGTCCAATGTAATCAGCCTGCCAGCAGACAGCTGTCTGGAGTCCACTGTGTGGTTTCCCTCATGCATTGAAGGAGTATTTCCTGGGTATCTGTGATGTGTCAGGCCCCAGGGAATGGTGCCATATCAGGGGTGCAGCATTAGTCTCTGAGCTGGTGGATCATGCACTGAGCAGTGG